TCATCGGATAAAACACATCCAATTCATTCATCATCATCTGCTCTATGCAGTATGTTCGCTAGCGGATTAAACAAGTACCGTGCAGAGAGGGTATATGACGTGACCGAACATGACCACGCGCTTATTTGGCGTGCTTTCGGAATGCGAGTAGTTCTGAGAGGCTGGCTAGCGGGCAGCCATGCTTGAGGAAGTCGTGCTGCAGTAGCTCGTCCGCGGACGCGCGGCTCTTAACATCGACGCAGAGGCAGACTGACAGGAACGCCTTAAGCTCCTTGCTCAACTTCTCGGGCTTCTTAAGGCGAGGAGTTCCGTTGGTGGCAATGAGATAGAGCGCCTTCAAAGGCTCCTCGTTCAGGTACGGAGGTTCGGACTCGATCATCTCGATAGCCATAATACCGAGAGACCAGATGTCCACCTTCGGACCGTACTCTTTTTGCTTCACGACCTCGGGCGCCATCCAGTACGGGGTTCCAACCATGGTGGCGCGCTTCGACTTGGTCTCAGTCAGCTTGGCGCAGAAACCGAAATCCGCTGTTATCTAGGTTAGCATTTTGTATCAGACTCAGTACAGGTGTAGGCACTTACTGATCTTGACATTTCCACGTGCGTCGAGAAGGACGTTGTCGCTCTTAATGTCGCGGTGGATAATGTTCTGCGAGTGCAGATGTTGTAGTCCTTGGCAAGTCTAGAGAGAGGTCTGTGGTTAGTTTCACTCGATGCTCGATACCATAGCATGACTAGATAACTGACCTCCAGACATATCGTCGAAATTTGCTCTTCTGTAATCACTGTATTGTTGTCAATGACATCGGTCAGAGCGCCACCCTCCATGTACTCCATGACCACCCAAAGCTCGGCATTGTTATTGCGGAGGAAGGCGTCCAGGAAGTTGACAATGTTCGGATGCTTGCTGTCCTTCATGACCATAATCTCGTTGACGATCAGCTCCTTACGGGGCTGGTGTGCGAGATCCATCTGCTTGATCGCGACTTGGGCTCTCGCGCCCTGTTGTCTGAGGACTTCGCGCGCCACACCCGAGGTCGCGCCCTCCTTGACCTTAGCCACATACACAGAGCCAGAAGCACCCTGGCCAATCTTCTTCTGTTTGGCATACGAGAGATTGGGATCATCCTTGGAAACTGCTTCTATCAGCTTGACCATGACCTCCTTCTCGGTCATCTGTGACATGCGCGCATCCTTGCTCTTCTCCGACGGCGCAGGCTTGGCGGTCAGGGCAGCTTCGGCAGCCTTGACGCTATCGCTCTGTGGAGGCAGAGGCTTGGCAGGCACGTTCAGCGGCTTGACCGTAGGAGGCATGCGCTGCGCCTGCGACTGTTGTGGCTGGCCATTCGAACGCGGCTGCGAGGAGGAGCTGCTGGGGTTGGTGGGGTATCGCTGTTGCTGGTCGTTGCGCGGTGGCGCCCGCTGGCCAGACTGGTCACGAGGCACAGAAGAGCTGCTGCCAGTGGAAGGGGGCATGTTGGGCCGGGCGCCAGAACTAGGAGAGCCGCCAGGCGCTGGCGGCGCAGGGCGTTGGGCCCGAAGGCTGGCGTTGGCTTGCGACGCGCCGGCCTTGGGAGCTGGAGGAGCAGCTCTGGTAGGGTTATATCGATCTGACGATCCGCCAGCGCTGCTGTATCCTCCTCCACCAATTTCTTGTTGGGCCAACGGGACTTTCTTCTTGGGCAAGGACGCATTGTAAGCTTCTTGTTCGCGCTGCTCTTCCTCTCGCTTGTTTTGCTCCTCCACCTCTCGCTGTCTTTGTAACTCGAGCTGTCTCTTTCGCTGCTCCTCTCTCGCTGCGTCTGCTTGCGAGTAGCCGGAGTTGAAGTTGTTTGAGCCATCAGGGGGTGTTGGCCTCCGCGGTGGGCCGCCCGAGGACTGGGGAGGCTGGTTGGGGTAGCTGTTGTTACGCTGGGCTGGAGGCATGGGCCGAGGAGGTGCGACCGAGCTACTGCCAGCACCATAGCCGAGCTGCTGGTTCTGGACGCTTCCTGGCGGAGGGGTGGGAGTGAGGCTGGGGTACTGCTGGGGGTCCTCGGCACGCTTTGTCAGGTCGGAGTAGAAGTCGAGGACCTCGAAGACGGCCTGCGGGTTCCGCTCGTAGTCTTCCTTTGTGATGGCCGACGAGTTGAGGAGCTTCGACCACTCCGGCGGCAGACCAACAAACTGGCCAGTGGAGGGATCGAAGCCAACATGGACAGCATGGGCAAAATTAGTAGGATTGCTCACGCCTCCCATGGTCGGGCAGCGGCCATAGATGAGGTCTATCCAGTCGTATAGGTCATCGTCGCTCTTGACCCTGATGTTGAGCGTCCTGGTGGTGCCGTCGTCGTCTCCAGGGCTGTTTGAGTTGCCGTTGGGCTGGCGCTTGATCTCGAAGATGGTGCCTGCGGACTCGACGCGGCCGACGTTGACGACGTCCTTGAGGAAGAGCGTGTACGAGACCTTGCCGCCCTCGGTCTTGTGGAAGTCGAGGGCCTCCTTGCGTAGGATAAGGTACTTTTGCTTCCAGGGAGAGATGAAGTTGCGGTTCTCCTTGACCTGTGCCCAACCTTCCTTGATGACGGCCACACCGCCCATGCCGTCGGTGGCATTAGAGCGCTCGCGGGCGAGGGGCAGAGAGATTGTAGAGCCGGTGTAGGTCGAGGTGGCGGTGCGGGTGATCGGGGAGATGGTCATGTTGGCCATGCTGCCGGGCAGGTTTGTGTTTGGCGTGAGGTTGAGTCGAGGTCTGTTGTCGCCGCCACCGGGCGGCTTTGGGGCAGGGCCTGGGTTCATGAACTGCCCTGATGAGTACATGCTGCCATTGTTGGCCATTATGGAGGTGAAGGCAGAGGCGGAGGCGCAGGTGGGGAGGGCGGCTCTTTGAAAAGGGCGGTGGTCGAGTGACCGCGTGTCCCAGAGGCAGTCGTGTCGCTCCAGATGTCGCTGCTCACATCTGCAGCACTGATGATACACAGGCCGGGCCGGGGTTGGGGGAGGAAGAGTCGACGGAGCGGCAGGTCGAGGGCTCGAAAGGAGGCGGGGTGGGCTGTTGCTGTCGGCAGGTGGGCCAGGGGTAAACCGGGAAGGGTGAGGGGCGGCGCTAACGCCCGCTCGGAGGTTCAGAGGGTCCAGCGCTGCGGCTGGCACTGCTGTGCGGGAGCTGCCCAGACCACATCAGTGACTTTGTTGTGAATGCATCATCATACGACTACACATCTCGAAATCTCCGGTAGCGATCAGTCTTGTACTAGGTCGATGCATGCCGCCCAGATTGGCCCGCGATAAGTCGGCTGAAGGTCGGAGTCCTGGAGAGGCAGGGCACGTCCGGTGCAGGAGGCTGGGCGAATGTGTTTCAAGGCCGCCGACATGTGTCGTGTACATTCTCGGAGGCATGCTTCACAATACGCCAACCCGGTTCAGCTGCCCTGGGGTAAGCTTCTAGAAGACATCGCAATACGTCATTTCTGGCCATGCTCAGCTGGATGCTTTTTCCTGAGATTAGGGTTCGGGGCGAGCGATCTGCTTTGGGGCATCAAGCATGTCGTCTGTCTCCATGCCGCACGTCCTTGCATAAATATGGCTTGGTGTTTCACTCATGGGGCCGATCCTGGGACTGTATTCCACCCGAGTGGCATCGACCGGAGGCAACCGTAGGTAGTTGATGGAGGCAGCGATGCCACCGATCTCGCTTGCACTGCTGCTGCTGCCCAATGTCAAAGCGCCGACTGGGTTTGACAGCACCTTCTTGGCTTGTCTCGGAAACGGGCCATCGCGAACCAGGGGCAACAGAAGCACTCCCTGGCCCTGCCTGTTTCATGGGTTACCAGCAGCACAACCTGCATTGCAAATGTTGTTTCGTTTTCCACGTTGTACCCTAGACGATGGCAATGCGACCATGGGTCCTGGGGTAAACACACTCTTCACGAGCTTGAAATTCCGTCGCGGGCTGCAGGTTGGTCTTTCCACCAACGGATAAATGTAATCCTGCTTTCATTTTTACGAACATCATCATGGCAAGCTTGTTCCCCTGCACCGTTTCAGCCGGACTGGGGCTTCGTCTCGTGAATCAGACCATTCCGCAGTGCTCGGCGCTGTCGCAACCCCACCAGTTATGTTACAGCGTCTGTGAAAGCAACGATCCTGCATTCGGTAGCCTTGAAACATAGCCGTCATTTCATCCGTTCTTGTTGAATATTTGATTGCTGCGTATCAAGACAGCCTACCCATCGCGTGGCAAAATAAGACTGTGGGTTAAGGCAGGTAGGTGGCAGCAGCTTTGAGGGAGCTGACCCTGGGCGTCTACGAGCTTATGTTAATTGGGCTTCGGCAAAATCTGGCTTGGTCGAGGCGCGGGATATATAATCCATTGGGATACTACTAGTTCATTTTTTTTACTGGTACTGGACACAATGGAGATTTGATTGACAGAACGAAGTACCAGTGCGCCTTCTTAGGCAGGCAGCCAGGCAGAGAAGACTGGTATGAGAAAGCCTTACCTGGAGATGGTCGGACTGCCCTTTGCTTCTACCGATGCCAGGGTGATTCTCGATTTTACTGCACCTAGCATCCACGACGCCCTCCGGCGTGCCGCGGAAGCCAGTGCAGATGGCAAGGATGAAGCTCAGCCAGTGGCCCTCGATGTCGAGGCGGATGAGTAATGTGCTCGTGCAGTGCAGATTGGTCTGGGTTGACATGAAACGTCGAGGGCCTTGCATTTAAACTGTAGTTTCGTAGGCCACAGTTCTGTAGACAAATTGAACACTACTGTCAGGAGGCTACTCTGGATCCGCGTACTGCGCCAGGGGAATAAGGATTATAACGATAGGAACCCTTCTTAGTTACGTTCTCTTAGGATTATACCTACTATTATACCCGCCCCCTAACTACGAATAAACCATACCCTAGGGTACTTAGATAGCACAACACCATAACCCAAAAATCATAACTTCGTTTTTGGTCGATATATTTCTTGTTAAAGTTCGCTTAGTTCATCAACCGAACTCACTCGGTAGGCCCTTGTGGCTCAGTGGTAGAGCATTGCACTTGTACTATCGTGATCTCGTACAGGAACATGCAAAGGTCCGTCGTTCAATCCGGCGCGGGGGCATGATGATTTTTTGTCTGGTACAATCCCGACTAGTCTTATTTTCTTTTTCTTTCTCGGCTCAAAGCAAGGTGCATTTCTATTTAGCCTTTGCCACTGAGCAACAAGGGCCATTCTTTGGTTGATGAGATGAGTAGTCCTTAACTAGGCATATATCGGTCAGGAACTTCCTTCGGAAATCCCTGGAGGCGGGGCAGCCTCCAAACAGTGTTTAGTGCTACATGAAGCAGCTTTGAGGTGATACTCCAATACAAGCAATCTGAATTAACTATCTTTATATCACGTAGAAACTGAGAAGCCGGGGACTCAGCTGTGGTTGCGCTTTGTAGATAGGATATTTGTGGTTGAGACACGACCTTGACATGTGCCATGAAGCATCATCAACTACACGCAAGCATATGTACTACAATGATAAACACATCCAGATACGTCTACAGGACCGAAAATAATAATGCGTTCTTCTGTTTTGTTTACATCCAACACAAGTGGCTGTACATACGTTGTGATCTTGGGTCGTTGACACGGGCGAAATTAATCAAAATCAAATCAGTACCACGGGAAGCCATACAAATCACAGATATCGTTCCTAGGGAGGAGTTCGTGCAGTGTAGAGATCCAGCTATGTTCTAGGGCAGGTGCTGCCCAGGAAAGTGGCAAGTGTAAGTGGGCAAGGGCTGATCGTACCTTCCTTCGCAGCAAAACACGGCGCTGGGCCAGAAAGACTACAAAACTGTGAGCTGATGCAATCTGGAATTGTGAAACCTCTCTCTCTTTACGCTGTCTAAAAAAATCACTCACAATGGTCGACTCGACCGTGGACTGGAATGGCAAGTCCATTTTGTTTCGGTTCTTGCCTGGCCTGCCTCCGCCGCCGCCTCATCCTCTGCTCCTCGATGGTAAGCGTTATATCATGACAAGCCTCCCTACAGGTCCGCTGCTCGACCATTAGTTGATCGCAGTCCGACCTGCATTCGACCTCCATCTCTCTATCTTTCTTCAGCATTCAAAATCAATACATTGCGATCTCCCAAGACTCCAGTGTCCCAAGGATACTCTGTTTCTCTGCCGTTTTTTAATCGAAGTAGCACTGTCGACACATCCGCCTCAAAAATCTGATTTTCTGGCTGCTCTAAGTGCCCTGTACTGATTTAGGGTGACTCATGTAGGATGGGGATGGGAAGATGACCTCCCAGAGTCCGAGATGTGTAAGCTCTCTTAAATCAAGTGACCTGGGACCGCTAGAAAACTAACATATGGTCATAGTGATGGACGACCCACTTATGTCGAGTAAACTACTTAAAACTAATACTTAAGATGAAGGCTAACACTCGGAACAGCGTTAGACGAGATCCTGGCCTCGTCTTTGCGAGGCCAGAAGAGAGAGGCGGTGGGGGAGATCTCCGGCAACGTAGTAAGTTAGCATCTGTGTGGTCATCTATGGCTCATATTCTCTCGATTGTATTACCAGCTGCTAACATTATTTAGTCCAAAAAACAAAAGGGCGAAAGCTCGTCCGAGGTTGGCGTCCCCCAAAAGGCAAAATCACTGGGCGGTGCGACCACCGCGTGCCGCCGCAGTGCCCGTTCACCACGTCGCAGACTGGCCAAGGCGTGGGCCGTGCCAATGCCAGCGTCCGCAAACACCAGAACGGTGGTGCTTGTCCTTTGCGGGTATGTTCATGTCCAGAAATCCAGAGTCCAAGCCAATGGTAACTAAATGTGAATCAAAATAGCCGATGCGCTTCACATGTGCGTGTGGCGAGACCTTCGATAGGAGGTTGAAGCATAAAGATCACAAGGATAAAGCCAAAGCCAAAGGACACGAGCACACCCTCGCATTAGAGGAAAACCTGGTGCCGCCGTCTACAAATTAAATCTCGTCCGGACCTTCTCCATCTTAGCCTTCCACTCCCACTGCACAGCATCTTCGCCGTCGCCGCTTCCCGCACGGCCAATACCTTTGTATATCCGACGCAGCTTCAGTGTGGCCCGTGGGCCCAGCTCCTGCAGACCGGCTCTGATCTCCTCGACGCCTTTAAGCTCCTTGCCGTCGGCGCCGACCACGCTCTTCTCCGTTGCTCGCTTGTCGCGGAATACGTAGCGGTGTCGCCGCAGGAAGATGTAATCGCGCTGATTGTGTAGCGTCACAACCTGCCTGCCCTGGAACTCGGGGTTTTGCGGCCAGAGGTTCTGAAACGACTTGGCAGTCAGCACACCAAGAGGTGTGCGGAAATTGTTGAGAAGGAGCTCGGGCTGCAGTCGTCATGAGTCAGCAAGGGCCTAGAAATGTATGGAACTGACTGTACATACATAGTGATTTGTAGGGTTGCCATGACCAGGGAGTTTCTTGCCAGGAATCCAGGTGTTGATGCTCATCGTCAGCGTTGGACCGGCCGGCAAGTGTCTATATAGGTCTTTGTTAGTCGTCCGAAGAGGTTTACTTCTCTTAGAGTTCTTTCTTACATGATATCCAGTCCAATTGGCTTCTTCTGATCCTCACGCAGCACGACCACAGCAGTGAACCCTCGGTTGTAGGCAAACTTGCTGATCTCCCGAACAGAGTACTTGTGGGCAAACTTGTGCGCCGATCTAGGTATGTATTGTGAGTTTGGGAACAGCGTGCACAAAAGGTGTGCCTCGTCGTGCAGGGTTGAGTTGAGATTTGTGGTGAGGAGGATTTTGGGTTCCGCGGGCCGGTCGTCGGAGAACAGCGTCGGGAATCTGGCAACGAGCGCTTCGGGTGTGATGTCGAGGTTGGTAGAGGTAGTCGAGGCGGCAGTGCTGTCTTCGCGCATAGCCTGCTTCGCCCGAACCTTTGCGGCGGCGTCTTCATCCTCTTCTTCGTCTTCGTCGTCTGATCCGAGCATGCTGTCATTCTCGCCCTGGTCATCTTGAGCCTCCTCGTCGGCATCGTCGAGCCCAGCAGCCGCACGCTCTTCCGCCTCTGCCTGCTTTAGCCGCCGTTTCTTCAGGAGCTGAGCCATGTCGACGTTGGCGCCGAGGCTGTCGTCGTCGACGTCGTCCCACACTCGCTTCTTATCGATTGAAGCTGGTAGGTTCTTTGTGACGCGGGATCGCCGGAGCTCGGGGTCCTTGGCCTCCTCTTTCTTGCGCCGGAACCGGGATTCTCGCTTGTCCTTCTCATCCTGCCTCTTCTGCCTAACGTGCAGCTCCTGGCGACGGAGCTTGTTGCCGGCCCGCTTGTTAACCATGTTCGTGCCCATCGTGGATAGGGCGACCGCTGTAGTCGAGTCTCGAGTGAGGCAAATGAGTCGATGAGCTCGTGATGCGGGGTTGGGAGAAGATAAAATGGAATTATATGTCGACAACAATGCCCTGGAGTCTGGAGCTTTGCGCCTTGTCGAGAATCGTAGGCAGTGGTCGCAAAGGATGAAGTTTCCAGGGTTGCTTTGCGATAGCGATTGTAGAAAATTTTAGTGGGACCGCCCTCCAGCCCCGCCCAAGCTGCAGGCGTGTATGATTGGACGAGTCAGTAGGCAGGAGGGAGACATGGCCCGCGTGCACTTTCAAGGTTGTCCGTCTCGATCACATCACTCCCACAGCAATTGATCTAGCTAGCTGCTCTGGAAATCATCTGCTTGAGGGGAGACGCTGGCACGTTGAGTGTACTTGCTTCTGTGGCTGCTGACGGGGCGTCCGCAATCATCGAAGCCTGGAAGAATCCTTGCTTAACTCACTATGTGGTTTCAGAGCTCTGGTCAGATAGCATTGAAGTCTGCGGACTCACACACTCCAGACACGCAACGGAGCAGGCCGAAGCTGCTGCCAGCCATCTCCTGTTTCGGACGAGTGCCTACCGGCGCACCGGCTCCGATTGGAAGCTGCCATCTGCCCCTCGACAGTGGACCTTTGACTCATTTTTGTCACCTCCCCCTCCCCCACCTCTACTGCCGTGAATGAAGCTCTCTCGATTCCTTGTCAAGAGGCCACTTGCGCCTCGTCTAGCCAATCCTCCCGCCTCGCCTCTCCGTGCGCGACCCTACTCTGCGACTCCGCGCCTGCTCTCCAAGAGCTCCCAGCAGCCCACCATGACCAGCGAGGCCACTACCCTCAAGGGCAAGCCCCTCGACCGGGCCGTCCTCGACTCCATGCTTCGGCGGCGCATGTTCTACACACCGGCCTTTGAAATCTACGGCGGCGTCGCCGGTCTCTACGACTACGGCCCGCCCGGCTGCTCCCTCCAGGCCAACGTTATCGATGCCTGGCGCAAGCACTTTGTCCTCGAGGAGGACATGCTCGAGGTCGACTGCTCCGTCCTCACCCCACACGAGGTCCTCAAGACCAGCGGCCATGTCGACAAGTTTGCCGACTGGATGTGCAAGGACCCCAAGAACGGCGACATCATCCGCGCCGACCATTTCGTCGAGGAGATCCTCGAGTCCCGGCTCAAGGGCGACAAGGAGGCACGTGGGCACAAGGTCGAGGAGAAGGAGGATGACCCTAAGAAGAAGAAGAAGATCAAGGGTGCTGCCGCGGTCGTCAAGCTCGACGACGCGGTCGTGCAGGAATACGAGGAAATCCTCGCAAAGATCGACAACTACAATGGCGTGGAGCTTGGCGAGCTTATCACAAAGTACGAACTCAAGAATCCTGCCACCGGTGTCCAGCCCTTGCCTCCCGTGGCCTTCAACCTCATGTTTCAGACCTCCATTGGTCCCAGCAGCAACCTGCTCGGCTACCTGCGACCCGAGACTGCCCAGGGCCAGTTCCTCAACTTTGCCAAGCTCCTCGAGTTCAACCAGCAGCAGATGCCGTTTGCGTCTGCGTCCATTGGCAAATCCTACAGAAACGAGATCTCTCCTCGGTCCGGCCTGCTTCGCGTGCGCGAGTTCCTCATGGCAGAGATTGAGCACTTTGTCGATCCCGAGGGCGGCAAGAAGCACCCGCGCTTCGACGAGGTCAAGGACGTCGAGCTCATCCTTCTGAACCGCGAGACCCAGCTCTCTGGCAAGACCAACGTCGAGAAAGTCGCCATTGGCAAGG